AGCGGGGGCCCGTGAGCTCCCTTGCCCGAGGAGTAGCCCTGAAGACACTGACGTGTGGTCTTCAAATCTCTCCATTTCCATCTCAGCCTGGAGGTTGAAGATGGTGAGGGGGATTCTGGAGGGAAGTAAATAATTTCCTTCCATCCCCTGCATACTCAGGTGATGCTCCAGGTCTGCTTGCCCTCCTCTTCCTTCCTTGGCCTCGCTCTCCTCATGTCCCCGGTGATCCAGCCACTGTCCACACGCTAATGACCAGTAGCCACCCAGTCCCTGGCGACCCCACTGCTAGACTCCACGAGGCCCCAGGACTGGGCTCCAGGGCAGGAAGGGCAGAGGTGTTCCCCTAGAATCCGTGCCTACTGTCCCCTGAGCCATGTAAGGTCCTGCCCAAGACCTCCAGCTGACCGCCTATAGGACATCACCACCTGGGTGTCCCACGGGCACTGCAAACTCAACCCGACCCCACCTGAGCACATCAGCATTGCCTCCCTTCTCATAATAGCACCATTCACCCAGGGACTTGGTCTCCAAGCCCCGGTCTCTTCTGATGCCCCTTCACTCCTTATCTACGTCCAGCCTCTTCCCATTGCGTCAACTCTGCTCCAAGCCATCTGCCTCTCTCCATCTTTGTCCCTGGATCATTTGTCTCACTTTAAAGTCAAAGACACATATGGAGTACTTGCTATATGCCCGGCCCTGTTCTGAGCACTTTACCAATGCTAACTCTCAACCTTCACTTCACAGAAGAGGAACCTGAGGCATGCAGAAGTGAAGCATCTCATGCAGGGCCCACGCTTGAGCTCAGCCCAGCTCACTCAGCCTGGACTCTGAATGCCCATCACCAGAACTCTCCTGAAGTCTCCATGATGTCTCTGCACCTCCAGCCTCTCCCTCATTCAGTCCTTCCCACGTGTTGCTCACTTTCTTTTTAAAAAAATATTTATTTTTGGCTGCTCTGAGTCTTCATTGCTCTTTGTGGGCTATCTGTAGTTGCAGAGAGTGGGGGTTCCTCTCTTGTTGCAGAGCACTGGTCCTAGGGCGTGTGGGCTTCAGTAGTGATGGCACACTAGCTTAGTTGCCCCGCGGCAAGTGGGATCTTCCCAGGCCAGGGATCAAACTGGCGTCCCCTATACTGTAAGGCGGATTCTTAACCACTGGACCACTGGGGAAGCCTCCATCCTGCCCTTCTTGATTAAGAAAATGCTTTAATGAAAAAAATGACTCCAGTAGTGTGGTCTTTCTGGAGCATGTGCTGTGCTGTGCTAAGTTGCTTCAGTCATGTCTGACTCTTTGCAACCCTATAGAATGTAGCCTACCAGGCTCCTCTGTCCATGGGATTCTCCAGGCAAGAATACTGGAGCTTGTTGCCAATGCCTTCCTCCAGGGGATCTTCCTGACCCACATCTCTTACATCTCCTGCATTGGCAGATGGGGAAAGCCCTGGAGCATGCCCTGCTCAAAAAAACCTTGAAACCTGCCCCTTCTCCCCTGGCCCCAATTTCTCTACTTTATGAGCATGGAGTAAACCTCATTCCCTGGGCTGAGGATTCAAGGATGTGACCCCACAAGCTCCCAACTCCCCTGGGGAGCTCCTTACCCTTCTGGATCCCTTCAGGCACCCCACCCACTCTCTAACCTCCCCGACTACACTTTCTCCAGCCCTCACGCTATACAGGGGTGAGCTCTGAACATGCTCGGGATGGATCGTTCCTCCTTGAGGAAAGACTGTAGGTCTGATTCCTCTTTGAATCACTGTCCCCCACACAGTGTCACACAGAGGTAAGCATTACACACATCAAGAATGAATAACAGTGGAACAGAGTGCTTTATGAGAATGGGAATTAATTATTCATTCAACAACATTCGTGTAACTTTTAAGGTTGATAGCTTACTTGTTGCTGCTGTTTAGTCGCTAAGTCATGTCCAACTTCTTGAGATCCCACAGAGCCTTTGTGACTGCCAGCCTCCTCTGTCCATGAAATTTCCCAGGCAAGAATACTGGAGTGGGTTGCAATTTCCTTCTCCAGAGGATCTTCTTGGACTAGCGATTGAACCAGTGTCTCCTGCTTGGCAGGTGGATTCTTTATCACTAAGCCACCTGGGAAGCCCAATAGCTTACTTACAGAGACCTTGTTATGTGCTGGCACTGTGTGAAGCCCTTTACAGATATCATTTCAGCCTCTCTACAGTCTTGTGAAGTCAGTACTATCACTCTCCCCCATTTTACAAATAAATAAACTGAGGCTCCGAGAGGGGAAGTAATTGTCTGGAGTCAGACAGTCTTCAAGTAGAGAAGTTGGGATCTGAACCAAGGCTGCCTGACTCTCAAGTCTGTGAACTTGATCACTGGACTTCACTGCCTCCAGAGGCCAATGGAGTACTAGACAAGCATTCCAACTTCTGAATGATGAATGAAGACTACATAATGGGATATATAAGCAAAGTCGAGAGTCAACAAGTCCAACTCTACGTCAAGGTCATAGAGTCCAACATCTGAGAAACATCATAGCACTCAAAATGTCTGAAGAACATGAGGATTGTATATAATGTTGCACTTTCCTTAGCCAAATGTTTATCAAGCAGCTACTACATCCATGCCAGGCACTATTTTAATCCAGGAGTGTAGGGCAAAATGAATCCTCTCATATAGTTGATGGGAGAAGAAGAGACCAAAAAACTAAACAAAAATAAATATCAGAGGTGACAATTGCCATGAGAAAAAATACAGCTGAGTCAGGAAAAGGGGACTGTCCAGTGAACTGAGTGCAGGTACACTGGTGGCATTGCTGCTTGTATGACATCAGGAAGATCCCTCACCCTAGTAAGATGATGTCTGAGCAGGGCAGTGAAGAAAGGGGGTGTGTGTAGAGATCCCAGGCAGAGGACAGAGTAACTGCAAAGGCCCTGAGCTATGCTTGATCCAGTCTAGAACATCCAAGAAGCCTGTGTAGCTACAGCCGAGGAATGGGGATACAAGTAGGCAAGAGTCACAAACCCAGAAGGATGCCAAGGCCTAAGTAAATTGAGGCTCTGCATAACATTGTACGTCTGGATAATAGTAATAAGATTCATTCATTCCACATGCCTGGCACAGTCTTCAGCCCTGCTAACACAAAAACTGCTACAGACAGGATCTCTTAGAGACTAATGGGGAAATTGACAAACTCCAAGTACCACGTGACAGGTGCTATGTCAGGGCACTCTGAAAGTATAGAAGAGTACATCCAACCCAGACTAGGGGCCACAGAGGCTTCCTGGAGGAGATGGCACTTGAGCTGCCAAACAGAAGAAGGAAAATGCTCTGGAACACAGGATCAGAGAGGGAGGGAGGGGAAGGCCAGAACCTGGAATGCTGGGCAGAGCTTCAGCAGTGCCAGGGCCAGGAGGCAGCTTGTGGGAAGAAGGGGTCAGGGAGAAGGGCTGGGGAGGAGAGTAACAGGACAGGGAGGGGCATGGGGAGGAGACTACATCTGTGGGGTGGGGGTGGGGGGCTGAGGACAAAGCCTCAGGACAGGGAGGCCCAGGTTTAAGCAAGTGTGTGGAAAGTTGGTAGTTATGGAGATGGAGATGGCAAAAAGACATCAACAATTTACCTGCCAACCCAGGGCCCTGCTTTCTCTCTGGTCACTAGGCGGGTCAAGCCCGGAGACAACAAGGAAGCAGAAGGCAGAAGGAGGCCACCCCCACCTGCACCAAATCTTGTTTTCTCCTCCCAACCTTCAGGGTTCAGATCCTTCTTTAGGCAGATCTCTGAGTCCTCACCCTGGGGCAGTTCAAGACACTCTCAAAGGAGATTCTTCAAATAATAATAACTCAAAAATCCACAGCCCTTTGTGGTCTTCAGTGTGCTTCTGCCACCGTAACCCCGCTGTCTCACAGTACATCTCAGATGGACAGAGCTCCACTGTTAGCCTCCTTCCCACAGGAGATGCTGCAACTCAGAGAGGTTAAAACTTTGTCAAAGTCACACGGCCAGTGGGTGACTACTCTGGGACTCAAGCCCAGCCCTTGAGGTTGCAAATCCCACACCAACACTGCAGCAACCGCAGAAAACAGGGCCCAGTGATGGCCGAGTCCCAAGGACAAGACTGGGAATGGGGGTGGGACCAGCTCTGGAAAGGGGAAGAGATGGATAACAGGGGTGGTGGAGGCTGAGATTGGAGGCAAAAAGGGAGCAATGTAGGGGGGTGGAAAGGTTTTGAGACAGAACTAGAGGCCTCTCCAGAAAGATCTGGTAAAATGTCCCAGCAGGGTTGAGAAAAAATAGAAGCTGCATCCTCCCACTGCCCATGTCTCTGTGACAAGGTCAGGAGGGGCCTCTTGCTTCCATTTCACAGGTGAGAAAAGGGAGGCAAGGAGAGAGGCCCACATGGTTTGCCTAAAGGTCCACAGGAACTTAGGGCCCAGGGAGACAGTAGGGTAGACAGGACATCGGAGAATTTTCCCACTCCAGCTTGAATGACGAAACAGAGATGATGAGAGGGGAGGTGGAGATGGAGATAGAAACCAGGGCGGCATCCAAATAGGGAGGGGGGAAAGGCATAGGTACGATTGAGCCTGTCAGCGGCAGAGATGGTGCAGAGATAAGGCCCTGTCACCCAGCTCCAGTTACAGTCAGGCAGCATCAGCTGGTCGGGTGTCACGGAGTCCTCGCGCCTGCTCCCGCCCGCGCGGACACATCCACTTGGGCAGTGCCGCAGCGCTGAGCTCCCTGGCCCCGGGGGTGAGGGTACCAGGGTGGAGGGGGCGGGAGGAGGGGGCGGTGCTCCTCCGCCTCCTCCGCCGCCGCCTGCAGCTCCGCAGAGGCCTCCGCAGCAGCCTCCTGGCCCGCCCCCTCTTCCCCCCACCCCCCGTGCCTGGATGGTACGCTCCGGTCCGCCTGGCCCGGCTGCAGTGGATGTTGCTAGAACCCACGCGGAGAAAGGAAGAGACGCAGGCAGGCTGCGGTGACCCGAGCGGCCGCCTCTGCCTCAGGGACCCCTTCCCCGAGAGACGGCACCATGACCCAGGGAAAGGTACCGGCATCTCCCCCACCTGCACCATCCTCCATCCTCAGGTTTCCCCCATCTCCCTGTCATCCTAAGCAAGCCCTCTGGACCACTGTAAGCATCTTGTGCTTGGCTCTGGTGCGAAGGTCCTGGGTGGTCCTTGCTGAAGTCAGAGGACCAAAAGGCCCATTTCAAAGAATGGGCTATGGCCTCTTCCTGTCCACCAGGCTCTCCTCTCCTCCATCTACATTCCACCCATGCTTTGGCATCACAGGACCCTTCACAGATGCCCAGGTCTCCTTAAGGAGTCAGTTGAGGAGTCGTGTGTGTGTGTGTGTGTGTGTGTGTGTGTGTGTGTGTATCTCCAGGATGAGCTCTGAGAGGCAGTCTCTATGTGGCATCCCCCTCTTTTGTCCAATCCCAACCCCAACCATGATATACTCATCTTTTACATCCTCCACAGAAACCCCCCTCCAACTCCCTGTCATCATTCCATTTCTGGATACAGCCCCTGTGGCTGAGGAGTTACTATGGCAACCCTGCTTCAGGATGTTCTAATTTTTGTTTTGGTTTTGGCCAGACATGGTACTGAATGGGACCGGATAAAACGTCTTCTCTTTTTGTTTCTGTTTTAGGCCTGAAATGTAGAGGAGGGGGACTGGGGCAGAGACTTGGCTGGCCTAGTAGGGTTATGTAACATTGACAGCCTGTGGAATTATACAACCACCAGGGCCTTGGGCAAAGGAAGAAGGTCCTCTGGGGTGGTGCTAAGGATTGGGTAGAGGAAACAAAAGAAGGGCTTGCCTTTTGCTCCCACATTTTTTTCCTCAGAGATGAGCCTCAGAGCCAATGGCATCTTTCCTGGGCTCTTAGACCCTCTTTTTTCCTTGTTTGCAAGCTCATCAGGCCAAAAAAAATGATGTCATTGGGTGATACCATCTCCTGCCATTTGGGCAGACTTCACTTGGGAATGCTGGATGTGGGGAGGGAAGGGCCCAGGATTATCTGGGGGTCTGGTCAGCAGGGTGGTTCCTGGTGAGGAGGACCAGTGTGGACTGGGCTGAAGTCAGAGATGATAATCCTTTCCCAGGCACGAGCCCTGGGTCTGGGCGCAGAGGTCCTTGATTCTGGTGGGCTGAAGTGGATTTTCCTGGGCATGACCCTTCTGATCTGGGTGATGAAGGGGATTGGCAAGTAGGAGGGAAGCAAATGAGCCAGGGCCCCATTCCCACAGGCCTAGGTTCTGAGGCCCTTCCCTGAGGATCGAGGGGTGGGGGTTCACCATGGGGAAAATGAAGCACTCCCCTCTCTGCGGATTCTTTCCCTCCACTTCCCACCCCTGCCTCCATTAGTCACTTTGCTGACGCTGCTTCCTGTCCTAGGGTGAATGTATTGCCCGTGCCTCCTCCGCCCCCCACACCCCAGCTTGCTCCCAGGCTTTCTGATGATGGAAAAGGCCCCTCCAGTTCAGTGGTCCCCAGAGCTGGACAGAAGCAGAATATCCTGGTGTGGTTTCTTTTTTCATACTACCCTTGCCTCCCAAGTCATCTCTTCCCTGGCAGCCTCATTCGGGCCCTCAAAGCCTATATCCTCTCACCGAAGCTGAACTTGTACATTGTGGGGGCCTGTCATCCTCCATGGGACATTTCCCACTGGGCCTTAGTTTCCTTGTCTGTAAGATGACAGAAGGGTCTGAACAAGGCACTTTCCCTTCCATTAGTAACAGTCTGATTCTGTTCTGGTTTAAGGGAGAGAGGCTGAGATCTCCAATAAGAAAGAAAGAAAGAGTTAGTCACTCAGTCGTGTCCGACTCTTTGCGACCCCATGGACTGTAGCCTGCCAGTTCCTCTGTCCTTTGGAATTCTCCAGGCAAGAATATTGGAGTGGGTTGCCATTCCCTCCTCCAGCGGACATTCCTGGTCCAGGGATTGAACCTGGGTCTCCTGCATTGCAGGCAGGTTCTTTACCAACTGAGCCACTAGGGAAGCCCATGAGATTTCCAAAATGGACTCTTAGCCAAGGGCTTCTTGCCCTCCTGCAGTCCCTATTCCTCTTCCTCCTTTCCCCCTCTCCTCTCCTCTTTCTGTTTCCCTGATTTCCAAATCCCTGCCCTCCTTGGTCATCTCCAGCCCAGGAGAAAGAGGCCAGTCCCGGTGGATTGTGTCTGGGCTCTGCATCCCAGTGGGCCATGGCGGGCTTTGAGTCATTCTTCCTCTCTGAGCCTCAGTTCCCTCATTTAAAAACAGGGATCAAAATACAGTTAGCAAGGTAACAGGGCGATTCAGTGAGAGAACCTTTCATTGAGTAATATTTTTTAAGGGCCTACTCTGTGCAAGGCCCTTCTCTGCTCCCCAGGAAAAAGGTGAAACCGTATAGAGCCGGGCACTGCCCCAGAGACAGTGACCCCCAATGGTGGGCCCTCCTAAGAATTTCCTCCTTCCTCAGTTCTTACCCCTGTTCCAGTGTGTGTGCCTCTGGCCAGCCCCGAACCTCCCAGAGCTCAGTTCTCCCATCCATAAAATAAGGAGATTCTTTTTTCCAGCTTTATTGGGGGTAGAATTGACAAATAGAAATTGTATATAGGGACTTCCCTGGTGGTCCAATGGTTAAGACTCCACACTTCCACTGCAGGGGGTGTAGGTTCAATCCCTGGTAGGAGAACTAAGTTCCCACAAGCCGCATGGCACAGCCAAAAACAACAAAAAAATTGTATATATCTAAGGTGTATGATATTTTGATGTACATGTAACTTGCAAAATGATCACCCCAATCAAGCTAGTTAGCACATCCATCACTTCACATAGTTACTTTCTCTTTGTTTTTTGGTGGCAAGAACACTTATGATCTACCCTCTCAGCAGATTTCAAGGACACAATACAGCATTGTTAACTCTAGCCACCATGCTGTGCATTAGATCTCCACAACTTATTCATCGTGCATAACTGAACCTTTGTACCCTTTGACCAGTATCTCCCCACTCCCCCCACCACCCCCTGACCCTGGCATTCTACTCTGTGCTCCTGTGAGTCTGACAATTTTAGGTTCCATGTATAAGTGAGATCCTCCAGTTTTTTCTTTCTGGGTCTGGCTTATTTCACTTAGCATAATGTCCTCCTGGTTCATTCATGCTGTTGCAAATGACAGGAATTCCTTCTTTTTTAAGGCTGAATAATATTCCATTGTATATATACCCCACATAAAATAGGGGAACTTGTCTGCACCCCTGTCATTCTAGTAAGGGGAGAAAGTACCTGGGGGAATTCCAGAAGTGGAGGGGCTGGTGCGGAGGACTTGGGTGGTTCCCTGTCCCTGGTGACTTTCTCTGCCTCTCCTCCACAGCTCTCCGTGGCTAACAAGGCCCCCGGGACAGAGGGGCAGCAGCAGGCGAATGGTGAGAAGAAAGAGACTCCGGCAGTGCCCTCGGCCCCGCCCTCCTATGAGGAAGCCACCTCTGGGGAGGGGCTCAAAGCAGGAGCCTTCCCCCCAGCCCCCTCGGCTATGCCTCTCCACCCCAGCTGGGCCTATGTGGACCCTAGTAAGTCTCTTGGTTCCTGGAGGCAGGAGCCTCCGGGGAAGTAGTGGGCCCGTGTGAAAAAACCTATGTAGGAGGAAGTTGCCCAGAAATAGATGCACTGTGTGGTTGTCAGATGAGGCTGTGATGTCAAAGGTTTGGGATTTGGAGGACTGTTCTAAGGATACCTGGTCAAGGAGAACTCCATGAGAAAAGAGAGATACAGTTTCTGCAGTCAGTTCTCTTGGGTAGGGAAGAGGGGTTTTTTTCAAGTCATCGAGCTAAGACAAAAAGAGGGAACAGATAGGGGAGAAAAACCAGGAGCTGGTCTAGAAGAAAAGGATGCAGAGTAGGAGTGGGCAAGGTTAGAGCAGACACAGGAAGAAGCAGTGCAAGACCACAGTTGACCGTGGCCTCAACTGGGACTGGCTCCCTGTGAATGGGATGCAGTCTGCTTACATGCAGGCTGATCTGAAACCTGTGTGCATGGAGGCCCCAGGGTTGTTGGGGGCTCCGACCTGAGGATCCCCTTCATCCATCACTCTGCTTGACTCTTTCCCTTCCCCAGGCCTTAACTGGAAGCAAATACCGGCTGTAGTGGGATTCCTGGTGGGTCAGACGGTAGAGAATCCGCCTGCAATACAGGAGACCAGGGTTTGATCCCTGGGTTAGGAAGATCCCCTGGAGTAGAGCATGGCCACCCACTCCAGTATTCTTGCCTGGAAAATCCCATGAACAGAGGAGCCTGGTGGGCTACAGTCCATGGGGTTGCAAAGAGTCGGACACGACTGAGCAACTAACCCACACCAGCCTTAGCATCTCTCACAGTCAGGTAAAATTCTTAAGCAGACCCATGCAGGCTGACGCTAGCTCCTTGCAGACTAAGGATCATGGCTGGTAGGGACCCCTCTGTTAGGCTGAGCAGCCTGGGGAAACTTTGCCTCAGGGCTGGGAACATACCACCCCCCATGAGCTGTAATGAAGTCTTCCTCAGCCCCTTCAACCTCCCTCGACAGCCCCTCGATCCCCTCCCCCACCTTGAGTCCCCACCCCCACCCCCAACAGAATTCTAGAAGCAACCCCAAGAACAATGCCTCAGACAGAGTCTTTACTCACAAGGAGTGGCTACCATGGTTCGCACCTCCCACCACAAAGCTCCTCGGGCCAAGCAGACCCACCCCACCATGACCTACTGGAGGGCCTACGAAGGTTTGGTGTTCATGGGAGCCCTTCCTACTGCCCCTGATACCCACAGGACTGCTTTTTCTCTCCTTTTCTCCCCCTCTGTGGTCTGGACATTTGGGCTTTGGCCGGAAATGTAGACAGTACACAGAGGAGTGAAGGATAAGAGGTTTAGGGTCTTCAAGCCCCAGGCCGGCAGTGGGTCCACCTCCCTCCCCACTTCCTCATTTCCTGTGTCCTGGTTGCCAGGAATGGCTGCCGTGAAGACTGTTTTCCACAGAACTGTCAGGGCAGAGGAAAGCAGCTCATTTCAGTTGGCAGATGACAAACATTTCCTAAGCCTGCACCAGGCATTGTGTCTGGTACTGAGCTGGTTTCTAGGGATGCACTGATTTGCAAGACCTGCACTCACAGAAGTGATTGTGTAGACAAGTAAATGGACAACCAACCACACAGGGAAACAGGTGCCGTGATAGAGGCCTCAGCCATTCAACTAACCTGCCTGACAGTCAGGGAAGACTTCCTGGAGGAAGGGGTATCCACATGGAGTCCTGAAGGATGGCATGTGTTAGCTTGGTGAAGAGGTGGGAAAATGAGTGTCTGAGGTTGAAAGAAAGAATATGCAGAGGCTCAGAGGCATGCGAGCATATTACTGAAAAAAATATAGTCCCGTTGGAGAAGAGTAGCAGGGAGCAGTGTGCAGTGGAGCTGGAGGGCTCATGGGAGGCTGAGGAGGCTTTGTTAGGGAACTGGAACTTGAGTAAAAGGCAGTGTGTTAATCACTAAGTCCTGTCTGAGTCTTTGTGACCTCGTGGACTATAGCCCACCAGGCTCCTCTGTCCATGGAATTCTTCAGGCAAGAATATTGGAGTGGGTAGCCATTCCCTTTTCCAGGGGATCTTTCCAACCCAGAGTTGGAATCCCCGTCTCTTGGACTGCAGGCAAATTCTTTACCATCTCAGCCACTGGGGAAGCCCAAAAGGCAGTGGGGAGCCATCAAAGAACTTGAAGCAGGGCAGTGCCAACATCAGCTTTGAAAGACCAAGACAGAGGCTATTGTGGTGGAGGGGAAGGTCGGGGAGAGCTGGTAGGGATAGTTGGGGAGTGGACATATTTGAGGCCTTAGGAATGACCCAGATGCAGGATGAAGAGGTTGGTGTGGTCAGCATCAGGCACAAAGTTTTCACTTTTATCTTGTTTCATCGCCAGTAGGTGGGTATCACCGATCTCTATCATAGAAGGGACTCAGAGAAGGCTGGTGATTCCCTTAAGGTCACATAGCTAGGCAGTCTTGAGGACTGATCCACCTGTTTTCCTATGGAGCCCATGCTTTTCTAAAAGTCTAAGTTCTAGGACCAGGCTCCCAAACCTCACCTGACTTTATTTCCCCTCCAATCACTGCCCTTCTCTGGTTCCCAGCTAGAGCACCAGCAGGTCTGATCTTCCCAGGAGTCTCTACTTACCACCCCAAGGGCCTCAGAGCAACCTGGGGTTGGACCAATGACCTTGGGGATGTGCAAGGTGGCCCTGGGGGAGTGGCTGTCCCTCTCTGAGTCTCAGTCGAGAGGGAGCTAGAGTGTCCAGGGAGGGGGATGGGGGGCACAAGAGGGAAAGGCCACATCTCTATGAAAGAGCGTGGCCCCCAGGGAGCCCCAGCTGGGGGTGGGGGCAGGAAGAAGGGGGGTGAGGAGACAGTTCTTTCTCAGGATTCGGAACAGGAGAGGTGAGAGGCACCCTGGGAAAGGTCTGGGATCTCTGTGTGAAGAGATGGGGTGGGGCGGGAGGTTGGAGAATGGGGCTGGAGAGAGAGGCTTCGCCTGGTCCTGGGAACCAGTCTGATAAATGCTCTCAGCGGGTGGCCGTGGAGGGCAGTGTTCACATGTGTGTTGGGGGGCACTCATGGCCTTCCCCCTGCCACCCAGACAGCAGCTCCAGCTATGAGAGTGGCTTCCCCACTGGAGACCATGAGTTCTTCACCACCTTCAGCTGGGACGACCAGAAGGTTCGCCGAGTCTTCATCAGAAAGGTAACTGCCTCCCCCAGCTCTCCCAGACTGGGAGGGTAGGCGGGAAAATCTGCTTGAGAAACCCCTGGCCCAACCCTCTGCCCGGAGGCCACCCTTCTCCCCCTCACTGTGATCCCAGCTGATAGTACCTGCTGGTAAATGGGGGCATCCACCACCCCCTGCTGTGCCTGAACACCTGGTCTCTTCTCTCCAGATCCCATGGGTGCAGGTTGTGGAGCGTCTTTGCTCTCTTTTCTTCTTGGCCTGGATTCCTCCCAGTGACTCTGAAGATAGAGGGTGGAGGGCATAGGATGCGGGTCTGGAGGGTAGATCGAGTCACCAGGAGGCTGGGCCCGCCTGATCTTGGCTGGGGGCCTGAGCCCCCCGGCCTCCAACAGGGTCCCCTAAGCTGAGAGGAACCCCTTCCTGTCGCCAGGTCTATACCATTCTGCTGATTCAGCTGCTGGTGACCTTGGGTGTCGTGGCTCTCTTCACCTTCTGGTGAGTTGACCATGTGGACCAGCATGCTCCAGGAGTGGCGGGCCCAGGCCTGGGGTTGGGGGGGAATCCAGCATCAGACAGGGCTGGGGATGTTTGCCTAGGGATATTTGTTCAGGGCAGCGGCCCCCCTTGGTGCTGGGAAGAACCTTAGACTGGGTACATGGAGGGGTTCTCCATCCAGTGGGGGTGGCCCCATGTTTTCCGGGCCAGCGAGTGTCTGTGAAGCAGCCGTTCCTCTCAGACACACCAGCCCTACACCCAGGCATGTCCACGTCTCAGCCCAAGACTGTGGCTGGGGTCCCCTGCCCCACCAGGGGTGCAGTCACTCCTTTCTTCCTCTCCAGTCCTGTGAACTGGGGGTGGGGGGCAGGTGCAGATGTAGAACCAGAAATGGAGACAGAGGGTCAATTTGGATTCTCTCTTCCTCCCTTCTCTGCAGTGACCCCGTTAAGGACTATGTCCAGGCCAACCCAGGCTGGTACTGGGCATCCTAGTGAGTATTCCACACCACCCACCCCCCTCACTGGGAGCACCCATGGCAGCACAGGGTGGAAGGTCTCTGCTGACAAGTCCCAGCCCATGGCCTCTCCCCACGCCATGGGGACTGTCCTCACAGGAGCATGGCCAGAGGGCCCTTCTGAGGTGTTTAGGTCTGAGGGGGAGGGGAGAGAGGGGTGTCGGTTCTGGAGCCTGCATAAGGAGGGAAGGGTGGAGCTGGAGTCATGGCTGGAGAGACCCAGACCTTGGCCCTGAGCAGAAGGGGGCTGGGACACCTTGGCCTACACTAATAATGATGTTGCTACTCTTATTAACATAGTTGTTATTAGTGCTTACGAATTATTAATCATAATAGCTGCCACTTATAAAGTGCCTAATAAGGGCTGGGCATTGTTCACTGTGCTTGATGTACAGTATTGCATTCGCTCAGGTCTATTGGGTATAATTACCTCAGAAAACTCAGGCTCAGAGAGGCTGAGTTTGCCCAAGGTCACACAGGTAGACAGTGGTGGAGCTGGGGTTCAAACCCAAGATTCAGGTTGAGGCTTGCACTCTTAATCCCTCTGCTTGGCAGACTCCCTTCCCCTCGAGCAGTCAGCTCCCGCCTAGCCTATACGCTGCAAGGAACATGGCAAGTAACTTGAGAGAAGGCTATTCTGACCCTCCCAGGTGGGCAATTAAGAAATTGTTCTGGATAACGCCAGGCCGGACCACCATAGGCTCAAAGCAGAACTACTGTCAGCAAAGTCTCCTTCAGCACCCATTGTGAGGCCAGGCCGGAACTGGGGCTGCTGGGAAGGCGGCCTCTGCAGGGCCAGGCAGCCTGTGAAAGAGGAAGGGCAGCCCTGTCCACGGCAGGGGGCGCGTACCTCAGAGGACGGGCCAAAAGGATTGGGGACTGGAGTGGCTTAAGCAAAAGCGTGTGTGGGAGCTGGAGTGGGAGTGCACGGGGTACATTTGTTGAGTTAGGGACCAGGCTGGCAGAGCACTGCAAGGTTCCGTGGAGGGGAATCTGGGACACCCCACAGAGCAGTGGGCCTTCTGGGATGCAGGCTCCGAATGCCCACCCGAGGAGCTTGAGTACTACAGCTGTCCCAGGCCCGTTATTGAATAGGAATCTGGTGGAAAATGTAGACTCAGCCCAGAACTTCTTGGATCACCTGAGCCCAGAACAGTCCCACAGTGGGCCTTGAGATAACATAAGCCAGCCCAGAGACTGACAGGAAGGAGACATCTTGGCCTCTGGGGCTCTTTAAGAGCCCCAAGCTGGGGGTCCCAGGGGAGGAGACATTCACACCCAAAGCCTTTCTTAGGGTGCAGAACAGAGGGCCTGTCTGCAGACCAGGCAGGGAGGCAAGCGTCTAGGGGAACCGGGGACACTAATGAGGGTAAAGCTAATGAGGCCCCAGGGACTGCCGCCCCAGTCGGCCCATGTGGCGGGTTGGCATGACTCCCGGCACGTCGGCACCTCCTGGCAGCCTCTGAGCCCTGAGACCTCAAGAGTGGAGTTGCCAGGCCCCTCGTCAGGCCTTCTGTGGGGGAGTCTTCAGGACTGTGTGCCCTGAGCAGATGGAGCAGGGGAACAATCCAAGAATAAGCAGCTCAGGAAGTGGAGGCAGAGTCAACCCACTGAGGGCGGGTGTGAGACTCTGACCTCTGAATGCCGAGACTTAGCATCCTTCCTCCTCAGCATCTCCAGGCAGAAAACAGAGATGCTCTGCTGGGTTCAGGGATGCATGGGGGTGGAGAGAAGCCGGAATTGGGTCTGGGCCCTGTGCTTTCCCTGGAGCATGGCAAAGCCTTAATGGTGCTGATGAATTCACCACTGAGATGCTGTGCTGTCCTACAAAAAGCCAGCCTGTGGCTCTGTCCTTCCAGACCCTTCCCCACCTCACCTTGGTCCTGAGTCTGCCTCTGGGTCGGACACCTAGCAGGGCTGACATCTAGTGGGTCTCACCCCCTCCAAGTACCAAGCCGTTAATAGGAATAAAAATGAAACAGGTCTTTTTCTCTGTATGAGGCACTGTGCCATGGGATTTGCAGATATTTTTCATTCGATCCCTAACAACAACCCTCCCAGGCAGATACAGTTATTATTACCATTTTATACATGAAACAATTGAGGGTCAGAGTGAAGAGGTTGCTTCCTAAGCAGCAGAGCCAGGATTGAAGCCTGTCTTTCTGACTGCAAAGCTGTTGAATGTCCCCTCCATGCCCAGCAGCCTCCCCCACAGCCAGGAACTGGTCCCGGAGCAGCGTAAGTTGGAGACGATGCTGGGTTTGGACGCTGGCCTCCACCTGAGCCTCGTGCCTCTGTGTTGACATTCTGTAAATAGACCATGGCTCCAGCTCAGGCCCTGGGGCCCTGGATCTGACGAGTCTGTCTTTCTCTCACTCCTTCTGTGACTCGTTCTCCACTCCCTGGGATGGCCTCCTACCAGCACCCCCACCCCCAGCCCTCACTTTCTCCAGGCCCCAGTTACCTTCCTCAGTGGGATCTTGCCTTACTGTCTGATTGCTTCCTCTGAGTCGTGGCAGCAGGAACTGCGTGCCTCCCTGCAGCAGGGGGAGTAAGGACCATGGGTTGGAGGTGGGGGAGCCAGGCAGAGGAGGACAAATGTGAGCCCAGAACTGGGGGAAGGTGGGTCCCAGCATCTCCAGGAAGCTGTCAGTCAGCCAGGATCTAGTCATAATAACAACAGCTCTCATCCTCAAGTCCCTGCCCTTCACCAGGCCTTGGTGCTCAAGGCTGGCCTGGGTGCTGCCATTCAACTCTCACTGCAGCCCAGTGAATTGGCCAGCATTCCTATTTTACAAAGCAGGAAGCTGGGGCTCTGCAATTAAGTAGTTTGCTCAAGGTCACACGATAGTGGTGCCAGAGCTGGGATGTGAAATGTGAGGGTCAGGCTCCCGAGGTCCCTCGCCCCCAGGCTGCCCCCAGGGGTGACCTGCCCCCAAGTTACCCGTCCCTCTGCCCTTCCTCCCAACCACTCATCTTGAGGGTTGAGGAGCTCTAGACTGGAGAGAAAAGGAGGTTGAGCTTTGCCCTCAGGAAGCGTCCAGTCTGGCCAGGGAGACAGGCCCCACACCCAGGATACACATAGACTAAGGTATTATTATTATCATTATTGTTGAAGTGACTGACCTGTGACTCAAGGGGGACCCAAAGAGAGCAAGTGCTGGAGTGTTTCTTAAGAGCTGGGGCAGGATGATGCCACGGTCCCTCACAGAGCAGGATGTCTTGCAGCAGCCCTGGTCATAGCACTGAGAACCCCTCCATCACTGCGACAACAGGGACGCAGCAATTGAGAACCACTGAAGAACAGGGAAGGGTGAAGACAGAGGGCTCCTGTTCACCAAATCCAGTAGGCTTGTCTCAACCCCTGCATTCCCTAAGTTTTTCATCCAGGAATATTTAAAGATCTCCTAACCCATGCCAGGCTGAGGATTAGATGATAGGTCGTTCCAGATGCTACACCTGGGTGCGGATCTAATGAGCAGGCCTGTGGGGTATGAGGTGCAGGCTTTGGTTGAGTTCTGCCCACGGTGCACAGAGCAAGCCCCTCCAGCCCCAGCCACAGGCATCCTCCCTAGTCGGTCCTTTCCATCAGGGGCAGAGGGAGGTGGTCACCCTGTGAGGATGTGGAGGGTGATGAGAGGGTAGATGGAAGGGCGGACTATGGTGCTGGATGGGCTGGAGAGGTAGGCGGGGAGCAGATCATGCAAGACATTGCCAGGTCTTTGGAATTTTAAACAGAAGAGTCACATGATGGGATCTGCCTATAGCTTGGAGAGTGGCAGTCAGGGTTGGAGGCAGAAGGACCAGATAGACAGAGGTGGCTCGACCTAAAAGGGTGGTTGCAGGAATGGAGAAAAGGGAGCAGATTTGAGAGCTGCCTAGGTAGAGGACTTACAGGTCCAAGTGATTAGTTGGGTGTAGCAGGCTGGGAGTTACAGCTGACTGAGCTGCTGGGTGGGTGACTCCAAAGCTGCAATGGGGGGTGCCCAAGAAGGAGCAAGGAAGAGGACAAGTTCGATTCTAACCTTCTGTGTTGGACATGTTTCTAAATATGTCTGCCCAGTTGGCAGTTGGTTATTCAGGTCTGAGGTTGAGAAGGAAATTCTAGATCAGAAATATGGGTGTGCAAGTCACGAGCATCTGCCTGATAAAGGGAGTCCTAGGAATGAGTGAACCCACCCAAGGGGAGCAGGAAGGGATATAGCCTGACAGAAGAGACCTGGTGCTGAAGGGGGTGGAGAAGGAGTGACCAAGGGAGTTAGGCGGGGACCTAAGGCTATGTCATTGTGGAACCAGGACAACAAGGGAGAGATCAGATATTGAGAAGTCAGGAAAGATAAGGATGGATAAGTGTCAACTGGACTCAACAAGGTCATAGTGATGTTGCAAAGATAGCTCTCTTTAAGCTGGGGCTCAGGCTGGTTTGTTGAGTTGAGGAGTGATCATGAGATGGAGAAAATGCCGCGAACAGAGACAACTTTTTCAAGAAGCTTGGCTGTAAGGGTGGATAAAGTAGCAGTAGCGAGAACCATGAAAGGTATTGTTTAAAGATGGAGAACAGCTGAGGAGGTGTGTGAGGGAGAAGACGTGGTAGTCAATGGCAGGACAAGGGAGGGTGTGGGACCCAGAGGCTTGGGGGATTAGTCTGCGATGAGAGGAGGGACAGGAGGAAGGGCACAGAGATCCGTGACACAATGTTTCCAGGTGGCAGACAGGGAGCCAGGGGCGCCTCACCTCATCTCAGATCTTCCTGGGACACATCAGGACAGACCAGGCAGGAGAGTGAGGCAGCCTGGGATGTTTGAAGATGGAGGGGGATGGTTGGCGCTGCTGCCATAGGGGATGGGTGAGAGAACTGAGGAGAAAGATGGGGAAGGATGACAGGTGCCATGTCTGATGGGACATTGGGAACTGGAGCCCATGCATTGGTGTTGGCACCCATCTAGGTAAGGCATGACCATGCCCACCCTTGGGTCCTCAGCCCTCATCTCCCACCTCCTGGACTGGTCTCCATCTCCACTGCTCTCCAGAAAATCCTCAATCCTCAAGCCTTATCTCTGGGTTTTACTTGAGCTTCCTGCCAGTCTCCTGGTGGACATGGCCACCTGGTTCAGAAATTCATGCCATAGGTACTTCTCACTGTGCCAGGTGCTAGCAAGAAAAACAAGATCGTTACAAGTAGCAACAGGTCCAGGGAAAGGCCTGAAGGAGGCAGTGTGGGGTAGTGGTTATAAGTGGTTATAAGCCACTGGACTGGAGCCAGAATGCCTGGGTTCTAACCCTGCCTCTGCCGTGTGGTAGCTGTGTGACCTTGGACAAGTCAGCTGGCCTCAATGAGCCTCAGTTATAAAGTGAAGAATATGCTTCACAGAGATGATGTGAGGATTATATTAGTTAATATTCATAAAGTATGTTCTCTCTGGCTGGCACATAGAAAACACTATATGAACTCCATATATGAAACTATATATATATATACACACATACATATGCATGCATGTTTGCTGCTTAGTCATGTCTGATTCTTTGCAACTCTGTGGACTGCAGCCTGCCAGGCTCCTCTGTCCATGGAATCTTCCAGGCAAGAATACTGGAGTGAGTTGCCATTCCCTATTCCAGGGGATCTTCCCGACCCAGGGATCAAACTTGCATCTCTTGTGTCTCCTGCATTGACAGGTGGATTCTTCACCACCAGGCCACCTGGGAAGCCCATATATATATTTGTTTGTGTATACACACACACACACACACAAGTTATAAGATATTATCTGGAGGAAAACCACTTTGGATTGGGTGGTTAGCTATCCTATGGCACCCAAGATTCATTTCTAGAAGTAGGCTCATCTTATTCCCCTTCCTCTCTTTTGGAACTGGACTATCACCCGGCCCGTTACAAGATTCTAGGATGGTTGTGGGCTTAACCAATCCCCTGCCCCTGCCCTGCAGCACCCTGCTTGGTGCCCTGTGGGCAGAGAGTGGGTTGAGCAGCGGACTGAGTGGAAAGCCTTCAGAAAAGACCAGCTGACTCCCCCGTCTGTCTGTCTCTCGCAGTGCTGTGTTTTTTGCAACCTACCTGACCCTGGCCTGCTGTTCTGGACCCAGGTAATGATAGTGGAGGGGGGAACTTGTGGGAACATGAGCAGGATTTTGGAAGTTCTGGCTCCAGTCCTGCCTGCCACCAGTACTCTGCACCCTAAGAGAGTCCCATTTTCTGGACTCTGTTAAGCAGGCCTGCCTTTCCCCTGTTTCCTTGGCACCTCAAAGGTGGGGGGAGGGTGAATGGACAGCTAGGGACCCATGGGGATGTGCCCCAGGAGTGGGCGTGAGTTTCTAGAGCCCCAGTCTCTGCTTCCTGCACCCCAAGTCTCCTCTGAACTCGGCGGCTTGCCTTACAGGAGGCATTTCCCCTGGAACCTGATCCTCCTGACCATCTTTGTAAGTGATGTGCGGGTATCTGGGGACAGATGCTGTAGCGATGGAGGGAGGAGGGATGCAGCGTGAATTTCGAGGGCCAGGAGTTGGGAACAGCCAAGGTGAGGTCACTGAGGGAGGCAGGGGTATTTTCACCCCACTTTTTCTTCAAAGACAGTTCACCTTCTCTTTCCAAATGAGCTTTCTCTCTTCACTCCAGCCACTCTCTTTCCACTATGATTGTGTTTTTAAGAGGTTTGTGTGGGAAATCCTAGAGCTGTGGGTAACAAGGGGGATGGTTGTAGGAAAGGGGAAGAACAGGGCTGCAAAACAACAAAGGGACAGTTGGCTCAACGCCCTTTGGGACCTCGTTCCCCAAGTGAAGGCCTGGAGGTAAGCACATGTGCCCAAAGCAGACTCAGAGTTGAGGGGCACACACAAGGGGTGGAGACCCAGGCGGGCTCTTGAAGGTGTCTGGGCCCCACCGTTCCCTCACGCTCTTCTCCTTTCAGACCCTGTCCATGGCCTACCTCACTGGAATGTTGTCCAGGTAAAGCAGATAGGCAGAATGGGGGAGTTGCCCCAAACTCTATCCCTCCTGGGAGCGCTGGATAGGCAGATGTTGGGGAGGGGCAGGCAGGTAGGAAATGCTGACTTCAAGCCCACTCCTCCTGCATTCTACTGGATGGTGCCTCCAAGACCTGGCCAGGCTGGCGGGGTTGGGGTGGGAGATGGAGGAGAGCAAGGTGACACCTCTCCAGCTGCAGCTGAAAGGACCCCGGGTTCATGATCATGCAGTTCCCTGAAAGCCACCTCCATACACCAGCACAACCCCCACCCCTCCACCCCACCCTCCAATCACCACCTTTTCAGGATCCTTCTAACAGGATTTTGAGTCTTAAGCATGTTGGGAGTTTGGGTCCCAGTAGAAAGGATGGGGAGGCAGGAGAGGGAGGATCATGGGAAAGGAGAGAAGGTGGGGGCCCCAGGTGGTGGGATCAGGTCCTTGCAGAAGGGGGTGGGCCTGGGAGGAGGGCCTGGGGAGACCAGAAGCCCTGCCCCAAAGCTGAGCCCCTGCCCGCGGGCCCTGCAGTTACTACAACACCACATCTGTGCTGCTGTGCCTGAGCATCACGGCCCTCGTCTGCCTCTCGGTCACCGTCTTCAGCTTCCAGACCAAGGTCAGCTCTGGGGCCCGCGGGCCCGGGAAGGCAGGTGGGGTGCAGGCTCCGAGCTTGGATCCCTGGCTGGGGAGAGGTCACAAGGATGAGAAGCCTGTGGGGAGGGCACCTGGAGTAGATGGGGAGGAACGCCAGGTTCTGGGGTGAGCACTGGAAGGCAGCCTGCCCCAGAGGCCTCAGCCTTCCGGCCAGCGCACTGCCTGGCCACGGCCCCCAGTGAATGCCGAGCCACCCTGTGCAGGCCTGAGGGGCCTGACAGCTGACACTCATCCCATCCCTGCAGTTCGACTTCACGTCCTGCCAAGGTGTGCTCTTCGTGCTGCTCATGACTCTCTTCTTCAGCGGACTCATCCTGGCCATCCTCCTGCCCTTCCAATACGTGAGTCTCTGGGTCTCCCAAGCTGGCCCCTTGGGGATGAAGGGGAAGGGATCGCTGGCCCGAGGGTGCCGTTTCCTCCTGCTCCCTCCAGAGAAGGCCTGGAGCCAAGGCCTCACAGCCTGCCATCCAGTCCTGCCGCTCCTGGCACCTTCCATGGGCTTGTTGGCAGTGTAAGCAAACACAGGCTTTTCTTGACAGGTCTGGGCACCTGCCCGCTCCACAAGCCACATCCGGCTTCACCTTTCCCATCCTCCCCGCTGGGGTGGAGGCGAGGCTGAGGTGGAGGGCTAGGAGCTTTTTTAAACCCTAGGCAGGGGAGGGCCTCTGGAGCTCCATGGGGCTAAGAAGCCCAGAGGGACCCTGAGGACAGGCCTCTTGGGACTCTGGGGGCATCAGTCAAGTCCAGAGGGGCAGGATCTGGCTGGCCAGGCAGGTGGAGATTGAGACAGCAGGGCTCTAAGCACTCCCTCACCTCATGAGGGTGTCCATGGGAACAGTCGAATCTCAGCTCTTTAAGTGTCTGGCCTGCCCGGGAAACCCAGCTAGGACTGCTCAGGGCTCAGTGACCTATTCCAGGCACTCGGGCTACTGCAGGTGGAGAAGGGGCAGACCGAGGGCATGACGGGAGGGGATTTGAGTCCTGGGAACCCAAGAGAGCAGCTACTAGACCCCTGCTGAAAACCCAGTGCTGTACCTTCCCCCGGGCTCCTCTTGGTCCCCACCACCCCTTGTCTTCCAGACCAAGGGCAGCCTTCCTCACTGCCCCTCCCCTACCCTATCCTACCCAGCCCCCAGGTATTGGCTCCCAGTCCAGAACATCAGGATTGGTTCTGGCATTTCCTTGGCTCTTCCCAGGATCCTGTTGACTAAGGGAGGAGCCGGAGCTGGCCTGGGGGCCTTGTGTGTATCTAGGATGGGGGAGGGGGTACAGGAACGGGCTCAGAGCTTCAAAGAACCCTTTATTGACCCAGGTCAGGCTCACAGGATGCCTGTGTTTCCAGGAATCTTCTGGGGGAAGGCCCTACAGAGGGCATGGTTGGTTTGGCACCTCTTGCAAGGTTTCCACACACGGTCAGGTGCCCCTGAGGCCCCCGGGGGGAGCAGAGGTTGGGAAGCAGGGGCAGACAATCCCATCAGGTTCAGCGACAAGGACTCCAGGTGCCCCTCCTCCCCGGACTCAAGTCTATCCGCTTCTCCCTGAGACCCTCACCCCCACAGGCAGAGCCAGGGAGTCCCGACAGGGGGGCCGAGAGCACAGGAGTGAGTGCTCACTGGGAGGAGGGCGCAGCCTCCAGCCAGACTCAGGCTGGGAGGATGTCAGGGCCCCATAGGATGAGTCTCCCTGGGCCAGCCTCAGCCTGGGGCTGTGTGTGGAGTGAAGAAGTGCTGGCCAGTCAGGAGCTCCCCTGCCAGCCCCTCATGATCACTGTTATTCTAGGGCTTCCCTAGCCCCGTGAGCACACAGAGGTTTAAGGACCTCTCGGTCTGGGGCTGGGTTAGGGGGGCAGTGAGAGAGAGGGCCCCCACTGGGGAGGTCTGTGCTGCATCCTCCATTCTCAAGACAGCCCTTCTCCCTTCCCCTCTGCCCCTCACCCCCACTACCCACCCTCACCCTCCCTGAGTCCATAGTTTTGTCTGCCTTGCAGGTGCCCTGGCTCCACGCAGTGTATGCCGTGCTGGGAGCAGGCGTGTTTACACTGGTGAGTGTACCCCCCTCCTCAGCCCCCCCCCACCACCTCCTTAGGTCCCTCTTCCGTCCCTATCTTCCTCATAGTCCGCTTCTCTGAACCCCCGTGAAGCATCAATGGGCTGGGGTGGGACTCAGTGCTACTCAGGTCTCCAAGACATATCAGCTGACCTGTGCATGGGCATGGAAGGCTGTAACAGCAGGACTGACACTTGAAACAGAGCTGGGAAGAAGTACCCCTGGTTCATGGGGAGAGGTTCAGTGCCGCTGTGGGAGCAGGAAAGTGAGAGTGGACTAAGTTAGCCCTGGCTGTCTCCTGAAGGTAATCTGGGAAGACTTCTTGGCGCAAAGCAGATCCCAGGTACTCTGTGACAGATGCATTTAGATTGAACTTGTCCTTGGCTGCCCTCACCAAGCTGAGAGTGTTAATGATGATGACAACGATAACAGTGATAGTTAATATTTTACTGAGCGCTCACTTCTCCCACAGCAAGCCCTTCACATATACTAACTCCTCACCGTAGCTCTATAAAATAGGTTCTGTTGTTCTCAAATTAAGATGAGGAGCTTGAGCTCAGAGAATTTAAATCCCTCTCCAGGTGGCACTAGTGGGAAAGAAGCCGCCTGCCAATGCAGGAGACATAAGACAACGAATGGTAAATCAACTGGCATAGCCTTGGTCAGGACTAGGGGTGCCAACTCATCCTGGTTGACCCAGAACTTTACTGGTTTAAGCACTGAAAGTGTCCCTTCTTGGGGGGAAACCCCCTAGGAACTGCAAGGTTGGACAAACCAGGATGGTTGATTATCCTATGACACTAATTGGTCTTGGTTCCTGGACCAGCAGTCTTTCCCACAGATGTGTGTGTGTTTAGTCGCTCAGAGATGTCCAACTCTTTGCAACCCCATGGACTGTAGCTTGCCAGGCTCCTCTGTCCATGGGGATTCTCCAGGCAACAATACTGGACTGGGTTGCCATGTCCTTCTCCAGGGGATCTTTCTGACCCAGGGATCGAACCCACATCTCATATCTCCTGCACCGCAGGCAGATTTTTCACCTACTGAGCCATCAGGGAAGCCCTTCCGGCAGATAGTACCTGCTGAAGACAAATCTCAATGAAAAGGATGGGTCAGGGGAGTCAACCTAGGAGGAAAGGAAGCAGGAGGGTCAGACTGAGGGGAGTGAGACTGGGGAAGCCTCAGAGAACAGTGTTTGCAGGGACAAATGGAAGAAGAAGAGGGGTCCAGGCAGGGCAGAGTGGGAGGAGGGCAATCGCCGAGGGAGGGTCAGGAAGTGTACTTGGCTTCCCACTGCTGCATGTGCGTCAGCTGTGCAGGGAGACTGTGCAGACAAGTAGGGTTGGATGAACAGTAATCCCTTAAATTTGTTTAATAATCACTTGTTATTAGAAATAATAAAAACAATCCCAACCATCGGTTCCACCCTTTCCATTTTACAAAGCACTTTCACACATATTACCTCATGGGATCTCCATCACATCCCAGGGAGGGAGGCAATGTTGCTAATAGAAGACCTGCTTTCTAGATATACCTGAGGTCGTGGGTGTTAAGGGGATGGCACAGAGTCCCACTGCCAGTAAAGGGCAGATTTAGGGCAGGACCCAGTTGTCCTGGGCCCAGCCTGCTGCCATTTCCGGACCCTCCATCGTCCCCCTCAAAGAGGACAACTTCTGTTGGCTTGAAGTGGGGAGAGGCTGGGGCGATCTCTCTGGCAATGTTCCCCCTCTTTCTCTTGCACCATCTGTATTGCCCTTTCTACTGGATTATTTCCATCAGCATAAAAACGGGCTTTAATTTCTCCCAAATGAAAAAATAGCAATACAAAAAACCCTTAACTCACATTCCCCCCTAGTCCCCCCATTTAGAGCAAAGCTTCTTATAAGGGAATCTATGTTGTCTCCAATTCTTCTGTCTTCCTCCCTTCTCTCCACTCCATCATTCTTGTGTGTGCTTAGTCGCTCAGTCCTGTCTGACTCTTTGCAACCCCATGGATGGTAGCCCGCCAGGCTCCTTTGTCCATGGGGATTCTCCAGGCAAGAATACTGGAGTGGGTTGCCATGCCCTCCTCCAGGAGATCTTCCCAACCCAGGGATTGAACCCCAGTCTCCCACACTGCAGATGGATTCTTTACCGTCTGAGATACCAGGAAAGCCCATGAATACTGGAGTGGGTAGCCTATCCCTTCTCCAGGGGATCTTCCTGACCCAGGAATCGAACCCGGGTCTCCTGCATTGCAGGCAGATTCTTTACCGGCTGAGCTACCAGGGAAGCCTGAATCCTCTTTAAATGTTCTCATCAGGGTCCCCAGTGGGCTCCCTGTGACTGAATCCAGTGGTCATTTCTTAGTCCTTATCTTGCTCGACTCTTGGTAGCATTTGGTACAATTGTTCATGCCCTCCTCCCAGAAGCATCTTCTTCACTTGGTATCCAAGCACCAGCTCTCCTGGTTTTCCTCCTGGGTCACACTGGAGGGTTCTAGGGCTGTGGACCTTCTAGCCTAGCTTCCTAGGGGACCTCAGACTATCTCAAGGCTTTGAACACCATTTTTTATGATGATGATCCTATGTTTTACATCACTGGCCTAGAATCCCTCACTAGAATTTCCAGTTGCCTACTCCATATCCCCATTTGGAAATCTAATAGGCACCTCAAACTTAATGTGCACAAAATTGAGCTCCTGCTCTTCCTTTGAAACCCTGCTCCTCCCACAGCCCTCCCTGTCTCTCCATCCTTTCAGTCACTCAGGCCAGAGGCCTTGATGACATCTCAAATCCTCACTCTCCCCACACCCCACAACTGACGCAGCAGCAAATCTGGTTGGCCCCACCTTCTGCCTAGAATCTGATTGCTTCTCCTCTGCCTTCATGGCTACTCCCTGGTCCATGTTGCCATCATGTCCCACCTGGATTCTTGAAATGGCCTCCCGTGGGTGCTGCCCCCTGCAGTCTGTGTCCAGTACCACAGCAGTGGGAGGGAACCTGTTCACTGTTAAATGAGGTCAGATCATTTCTGCACTTGGAGAAGGAAATGGCAGCCCACTCCAGTGTTCTTGCCTGGAGAATCCCAGGGACAGAGGAGCCTGGTGGGCTGCTGTCTATGGGGTCACACAGAGTCGGACACCACTGAAGCGACTTAGCAGCAGCAGCAGGATTTCTGCACTTGACCTCCAGCAATCGCTGTCCACCGCCCGCAGACCCTCCTGACCTCATGGCTTCCCACTCCTGGTCACTCACTCTGCTGCAGCCACAAGCATCCTTGCTGCTCCCTAGGATGGCAGGCTCACTCCCAGCCCCAGGCCCCTGCTCCCATGGTTGCCTCTGTCGATTCCTTCTGATCTTCTCACCGCTCCCCACCTCCCCTCCTTCAGTGTTTGCTTTGTTTACAGTCTTGTGTGCTGAGTGTGTTTACACACACACACGCACATGTAGGCATGCCTACAGGTTGCTCCCTTTATTTCTCTCCATCGCACATCTCATCCTCTGACATACTGAACATTTTTCTGTTTTTTTTATTTATTGTCTCCATCCAGCAGAATTTAAGTTCCTTGAAGGCAGGGATTTGGGTCTGGCTGGCTTGTCGCTGCACCCACAGTGTCTAGAATAGTGGGTGGCTGTTCTACCCACAGCCTAGGGGTTCACAGCAGGCACCCCTAGATGTTTTCAGAATGAACAGACTCCAGAGAGGCCAGGTCCAGCTGAGGCACTGTAAGAGTGAGGCACAGAAAGCATGACTGCACAGCTGACTTAGGCATCCATCTCCTGTGAGTCACAGGGGAGGAGGAACCACTGCACCTAATTACCCATTAATGTCTCATTAGGAGAGCGACACTCTGACTCTCCAACAGGCCTCAGTCAGGCTCATCCTTCGAGTCGTGTAAACAGTGGTCAGGAGCAGTGGCGTCTGTCCCCCAGCCCCATCCCCTGCCCTCTGTTACCTGGATCAAAGGAAGGAAGAGTTACAGCCCATCCCATGGTGTGGGGAGGGTTGAGGAGGGGCTGCTGGACTCATTCCGCTCCCTCCCTCTCAGTTTCATGTGGATGGAGGCCCACAGAAGCCCAGCCCCATAGGAACTAAGGTTCCCGTGCCTTTCCATTAAGCTCAACTCGGAAGGTCCTTGACCTCAATCTGATCCTGCTTCCAGCATCACTTCTGTCCTTTGGAATCTGTGGTCCAACCTACCCCCAGAACCGGTGCCCAGCACCCCTGGTCTCTCTGTCTGTCCATCCTGCCTTCTCCTGCCCTAGCCTTTGACAAATTCTCATCACCGTGAAGGGCACTCCCAGCACTGCAGCTAGTCAAGGATGTTTCACTCAGCGATCCCTGCCCCTCTTGCTGCCTCGGGGAGGAAGTGTGAGAAAAGAGAGAAAAGTAGTGTTAGAGGAGGGCCCAGCCCCCAGTGAGAACCGCCCCAATCCCACCAGCCTGGGCCTTGGAAGGGCTGTGAGAAGCAAAGGGCTTTCTCCTACAGACCTCAGCCCCTCCCCTGAATGATTGCCGTCTTGGATAGCAGGGCCTCCCAGCTGGACTAGGCTGAGATTGGGGAGGTGGGGAGCCGTGGTCCTGCTGGCAGGGACAGGCCCCTCCTAGGCCTCGCCCTGACTAGCCTTGGCACATTCTCGAGAGGCTTGGGTTTTTCTCCATTGCCCTACCCTGTAACCCCCCTCTGGGCACCACACTCAAAATGCCAGTGGAAGTGGTGAGTCAGTCAGAAGTTTCTGGCCTCAGGGTGGCCCCGTTCTCCTCTCCCTTCTATTGCCCCCTCCTTGAGTGCATTTTTGTAGAAGCTGATGGAAAGCGAGGCAGGGGAGCATGATGGGTGGGCTGGGGTGGTGAGGCAAGGGGCAGGGTCTGGGACAGAGCAGGAGAGTTGAGGCAGGGAGAAAGAGAGGGAGCGAGCACGCAGGGCCTGGACAGCTGCTTTCCTGCTGTGGCAGCACCTCTGTACCTGCATGACTGTGGGCATGTGCTCTACCTCAGAGCTGGTCCTTCTCT